GAACGTTCGTTTCGTTTTCGGTTCTTATTCGTTTCTTATTCGTTTCTTATTCGTTTCTTATTCGTTTCTTATTCGTTTCGTTCGTTGGAGCAAAGTGACATTAGAGGAGAAAAATATTTTTTCCCCCTCAAATGTCACTTTTGCTGCAAACGAACGAACGAAACGAATAAGAAACGAATAAGAACAGAAAACGAAACGAACGTTCGTACTAACGCTACCGAATTTCGTCCGAATCTGAATTCCGAATCCGAATTGACTTTCACACCCGAATCCTGAAAAACGAAATAACACAAATCCGAATTTAAAACGAAACGAAACTAAACTAATTTTTTGGCAGTGCACATGTCTAAGAACTACTAGGGTTGCAGAGGTTGCAGCTGGGACCTGGCTCTGGCGCTCCACCACTCTCCTGAAATCATTAGTCAATATTGTTTTAGAAAAACTGTCACATGACAATAAACAAAAATGTATCAGTACTCATACTTGTAAGTACTCGGCAAGTACCAGTACTCGCAAAACTGGTATCTGTGCATCCCTTTATTTATAGTTATAAAAACAAAATCATACATTAAAACAGAGATGTACAAATCCCAGGAGCCCCGTGTGCTCCTTACAAATGACAGCTGCCTCCTAATTTTGAATTTTTCTCTAGTGTAGTCTTGGAGCTCAAAAGTATCGGTACATGTACTCGTACTTGTACCAAGTACTGTACTTGGTATCTGTGCAACCATACTTAAAACATCTCTAAATTGGTGCTGACATTGTCCTTCCTTCTGGAGGGTGGCTACTTTTGTTCCCCATGGTACCTGTGTGTGTTTTAAAGTAGCCACTGCCCCAAGCTCGCTCCCAAGATGGACTACAATCTCATGTTTAGTTTACTAACTTGAATTGCGATTGTAGTCCAAAAATTACTGCTCTGCTCTAGGTTGTATGTTGGCTTCTTTCTTGGCTTGTCTCTCAGAATCTTTAAATATATTTCCATTGCACAGCTTCTAAAAGCAAACCTGTAGCAAGAGGTGCTGTCACAACGACCAGCAGGTCAGCTGGTGTGAACAAATAAAGAAAATTACATATTGCCAACACTCCATGGATCCATATTCAATAGCCTAAATGTTTATTTAAAGTGATCACATCTCGAAGGTAAAGGTGCAAAATGTCAAGGCCATGTGGTACCTCTTTTCATGCCTGATGAAGAGGTCATGCATAGACTTCAAACATTGCACCTTTACCTTTGTGATGTGATCACTTGAAATAATCTTTTGAACTATTCAATATAGATTCCTGTGTGCCGGCAACATACATTCCCTTTTATATATCCAAACAATGCACAGAAGCTTTCTCTTAATCTGAAAATCTTCTCACCTCAACTACAAGATCAAGAGCACCCTACCTGGGCTCCTCTCTCTAACATCTTCAAATTGCAAAGAGCTTATTCTTACAGTTGACAAATCAGCACTTTGAGTGACGTGCATCAGTGGCTTCTGTGTCTTGTTTGAAATACGGTAATAAAATACATTACTATCAATATCTTTAGTAAGGAGAATGAAAACTGCATACGTTTATGGTTCCTGAGCTCCTCCATCAAAAAATTAGCCTCCTCCTGGATTCTCTCTTCAATGCTTCTTTTCCCCATCCCAAAATTCCTCAGTGTCATCAATGTGAATCGACGTAGCTGCTTCCACCGCTCTCCATTGCTCAGGATCACCCCTGTGGGCCAAAATAAAGTGTTGACATGTTTACTGTATACAAATTCATAATATTTTTCTACATATGCAATGCAACCGATTGCTAGTTCTAAGTAGATGTTCACAGCTGTAGTCAACTAGTATCTTCATTTTAGTCCTACATCTTCCTAAAATATTATTAGAGGCTATTGGTGTTCCTGATAAATAATAAATGCATTTTGCATACAGCACGCACACAATATACCAAGGGAGAAGGTCTTGTCGATGGAGTACATTGTTAAGGGTAAATGGTCTCTCTCTAGAAGCATCCAGCTAAAACTTTGAAAGTTCTGTCTGCAAATACCTTTCAAAGGAACTTTTTTTAATATTATAATTTACATACAATTAGAGTACACACTTCACATTGTATAAGTCTTGAGATGTACGAAATAATTTCTGTTAATGAGTATACAGGCAGATACTGACATTAACCACTCATCCTCATAGTTCGAGCCGACGTGTGACAATTAAACCGTCACATGTCGGCTCAATGAGAATGCTCACTTCTCGATCATCCCCCTGCAGAGAGCAGTGACTGTCAGTCACCGCTCCCTGCAGGGATTCCCTCACTCCCTGATTCGATCCTCCAGCACTGACTGGAGGGAGGGACGGGGGAGAGTGCGGGCATAGCTTGCTCTGTCTCTAGATAGGCAGAGCCAGCTGTCATCCACGTAGTTGGGTGGATCTCGACAGCATCCTCGGGATCCATCCCAGCTGCGGTGCTCTCAATATATAGCGAGCTATATACTCGCTATATACTCGCTATAGCGGGAGGACGCTAGTATATGTCCTCCGATGACCCTTAAGAGAACTATGGGGAAAAACACGTACCCCATTTTTCTCTTTTAACTAACAATGTTCAGCCTATGTAGTATTACCATATAGTTGTCTCTTTGGTGAGCATTAGATTGCAGCTTCATTCCAGTAAACTGGTAGATAACCAAAAAACAAATAAACAAGGTAACAAAACACAGAGAAGAAAATAGAGCAAATATGCACAGAATGTGAAAATTGGTAGATGGGGAATGTCTCTCTCTTTCAAAGAATCTCTAGAGACAGATCTATATGTAAATTTGAGCACTAAGGTGCATAAGACATTTGTGTGACTTTCCCATGTGCATATACGAGAATAATTAGACCTATAAAAAGAAACAAGGCTTCAAAGTATAATGCATGCCAAAACTTTTTCTTTTAGTTTTGGAAAGAGTGGGAAGGATAAGAGCCCCTGTCTTACTTTTACTGCTATCTGGGGCTCCCTTAGAGTGATTTCCCCTCACTTTCTGTCCCAGTGTCAACAGTTTCACTAGACAGGAAGTGAGAGAAAATCTGCAACAGGGATTTTTTTTCCTGCCCTAGTAACTATTGGAAAGTTCTCCTCACTTTCCACTAGATGGAACTGAGGAGCATAGAAAATATCTATTTCCTGTGCTCCTTGGCTCCATTTAGTGGCCATAATGCAGTATTTCCCCAAATAATAAATTGAATGTGAAAAGAAAATATACTAAGAATGTGTTTGCCTCTATTTGCAGAACAAGTGTGAACAAGCTCTGAAAGCACATGCTGCACACTGCATACAGTGTGTGTGATCCCTACATGCATAAAGGAGACCTATTACTTTGCCCGCCCGTGGTAAAGTAAAACAGTTACTTCAAGAGACACTGCCACCTTGTCAGGGCAAGGTGACAGTGTCTTTGCAAATGGACCCCCCGACCCCCTTAGGTACAAATTCATACTTGCAACTTATTGGGTCAGTCTCACAAATTGCTCCGGCGAGAAATTCAAAAGTAAAAAATAGAAAAAGAAAAAATACTGAGATAATCATACTGCCAGGGAGGTTAATGGAGCAGCAAGGGAGCAAATGAAAGGTGAATATATATTGCTGGAGAGGAGGCTGGAGTTAAACAGCCCTTTTTTTTTGTCCTGTATGGAAAGGAAGGGTCACTTTAAACTTCCAATTTTATGGATTTGTGATGAAATGTATATACCAAAGGCAATAGTGGAAGTGATTAAGAAACCATCTCAGGAGTTACCATGTGCATTGAAGAATCTGTCCACTGTTGGCATATGGCCGCGGTTGCTGAAGTCATCTCCTCGGTCAATAAGAACCTCTTTCACCATTTGGTAGCCGCAGAGAATTATTACTGGTCTTGATCCAAAGTACAGAGTATATATCGAACCATACTTCTCTTTCAGCTGAAAATATACAGATAGAGAAAAAAATATATAATTTGAAGGTAATGTAGTTGTGTGCAGCAAGTGACTGGTGGAGCTATGAAGGAATATGATGACAGTCTAATAGTCTGACAGTATATAAAAATGTGTATTAGATTGCAACAGATTGTTAGCGAGTGGCAAAAATACCAGCTCTGTTAAATCTGGCCGCTCACATTGCAATCTGATTGTACAGTCTAGAGCACTATTTTTTCTGACTGCACCGGACCAAAAAAACGCATGCGCTAATGTGCCACACATTCGTATGCGGCCAATCGCATTGCGGCTGTAAGGCGTGGCTGCGGTGCCATTGAGTTCAATGCACCACCACGCCCCCCGAATGCAGTGAAGTGAGCCAGCCGGAATGCAATCCAGTGAGATCTGGTCAGAATCGGGCAGGGACACACTGAGGCTGGTGTGAACTAGCCCTTAGAGATAAGACGAAAGTTTAAGTGCAGGATAGTTAAATAGAACAAATAATAAATGAATAGATAAAAGTAAATACAAAACAAATCACATGATAACAACAACAATAATAAAATAATAATCATAATAATAATAAAATACAAATAAATAGACAACAGAGGAAGAAAGAGGGATGGAGGTATTCGGTTCCAAATGAGGAACAATCTCTACAAATGAGAGAAAGTTGGGAGGTATGGTTCAATATACATCTAATCAGGCAGGCTCTACATGGTACATCTAAAGCAGACAATAAAATCAGTTTGTAATAATAAACTAAACATGAGATTGTACAGGTGAAACTCGAATAATTAGAATATTGTGCAAAGTTCATTTATTTCACTAATGCAACTTAAAAGGTGCAACTAATATATGAGATAGACTCATTATATGCAAAGCAAGATAATTCAAGCCGTGATTTGTCATAATTGTGATGATTATGGCTTACAGCTCATGAAAACCCCAAGAACCCCAAATCCACAATCTTAAAAAAGTAGATTATTACATGCAATGAATAAAACTAGGATTGTACATAGAACAATATCGAACCTCTGAAAAGTACAAGCATGCATATGTACTCAGTACTTGGTTTGGGCCCCTTTTGCAGCAATTACTGCAATTACTTTTGCACGATATTCTAATTATTCGAGTTTCACCTGTATTCTATCACGGGAGTAATCTTGGAGCGGTGGCTACTTTACAACATACATAGGGATCATGGGGAACACAAACAGCCCCCCTCCAGAAGGAAGGACAGTGTCAGCACCAATTCAGAGATGATTTGAGGATCTACAGCCGAGTGATACACAAATAAGATACATTTTTGTTATTAGTTAAACTACTTGAATGCATTTTAAGGATTTAACTCCTGAGTTTAGTGTCACCTTAAATTACAAATCCTACATGTCTACAATATAATAGAAACCCACCTGATTCAAAGACTTCACCAGTTCTCCTCTCTTAACATGCAGCAAGTTCCCAATCACCGGCAGTGGTGTTGGCCCAGGGGGCAAATTGCGTTTCCTATACATTTTATCCCATGTAGAATAAATAAACATAAATGAAATAAGAAATATGAGGATCAGGGTTGCCAAAGCTGTTATTTCCATGTTGGAACCACCTTTAGCATTGGCTCAGTTCTGGAAGTTCGTGTGTTTTTATGTCAGAGTACATTGAGCTTATGCCAAGATCTGTTCTGTTGTATCATAGTTCACTCTGTGACTAAAAAAAATAAAAAATATTATCAGCAGTCAGCAAGACAATAGTTCAGAAAAAGTACAGCCAACAGCCTTTATGAATAGTCAAATACAAGGTCACTCAAGCATTAAAGCACACACAATCTTTGTATCTAGCTTCCATATAATATATTCTGGATAACATGCCGCTAATTTCTATGTTCACATTTTAACCAGTTGACATCCGCGGTGATAAACCCCCTTCCCATCCAGGCCATTTTTATGTGTACTTTGGTATCAACTGCACCCAGCCTTCGTCATAGCCACATTATCACCTATAACCGAACCTTGGTAAATACTCACACCCAGTGCAAACATGGACAGATAATAATCCTTAAAGGCTAATTCATATCTGTCTGTTCTAAAGCAGGAAAAAACATGCATCTACATAAACAATGTATGTGGCTGGTTTATGTCTATGTACTGCATTTATGAAATTAAAAAAGAAGCTACATGGGCGAATTCACACCCACATGTGTACGTTACTGCACGTGCTGCATGTGCACAGAACAGTGTGAATCCAGTCTTAGTGAATGCTTGCTGGAGTAGGAACGTGAGTTGATATAAACAAGTATGTGCAGATAATTGTACAAATACAGTGGTACCTCGGTTCACGAACTCGGTTCATGAACCATGATTCTGGTCGGGAACTGAATTGGTCGCGAACCGAATCAAATTTTCCCATAAGGTTCAATGTAAATAAGGCTAATCTGTTCAGAACCATATATACATTTTTTTAACGACAAAAATATGAAAGTACAGTACAGTACAGTATGAAGAGAGTGAACACCCGAAGGTGACTTCTGACGTGGAGGACAGGCAGGTGGTGGGGAGGAAGCAGTGGCGTCGCTACAGGGGGGCAAGGGGGGGCAATTGCCCCCCCTAGGTTTTCACTTGCCCCCCGTGTGCCCCCCCGCCAGGGATCGGCAAGGTGTCCTTGCAGGGTCCGCTGCGGTCGTACTGAACAGTTGGTACGTCCCAACACCCCCGTCCAATTTGATGTTTTGGTACCTTCCTGCCCACGTGCAGGAAGACTAAAGTTAAAAAAGTTAAAAAAATTAAGTTAAATGAATAAGAAGTAAAAAATATGTAAAAAAAAAAGTTAAATAAATAAAATGTAAAAAAGTTAAATAAATAAAAAATACAAAAGTTAAATAAATAGAAGTTATTGTTTGGAGGGAGAGTTCCCCTCCTTAGCTGCAGGGTCAATTTTGACAAAAAAATCTGTCACTTGTTTTTTCCTGTGCTGCATAACCCTCTGGAAATTAGAGACCACGTTATCGTTCATCAGATTCATTACCGCTCTGCACGTTCTTGTCACCTTCATTACCACTATAAACTTTCTTTTTACCCCCATGCTTGCTCTGCACTTTCTTTGGAGCCATGGTGGATTGAATAATACTGTACAGTACTGTATGTGCTAAAAAGCACACAAAAAAGCTTCACAGCAAGTGTGCACAGGTCTGTCTGCGACCGCGATCTCGACTATGCCACGACTATGTGTCAGAGCTGGGAAGATGGCCGCAGTCGTGTTCGTCACCCAATGTAGAGTTCGCGAATGGAAGCAGAATTTTGCTGAATTTTCTGTTTGCGAACCGAATTGTTCACGAACAGAAGCGTTCGTGAACCGAGGTATTACTGTATGTAATAATGCAATGACAGCCTGCCTATAACCAATAATTAGCTGCATAATTATTGCTACATAACTATGATTGACAGCTACCTCTCTAGAGCTAGAGCCAGCTGTGCCCACCCCCTCCCAGTCTGTCCCTCCAGTAAGCACTGGTGGTGCAGAGAGGAGAAGAGGAATCCCTGCAAGTGGTGACTGACAGTCATTACAAATACAGTGTCCCATGTTAGCTCTAAGTATTGGGAAGAGTATAGTTTATTCTTCCAATACTTCTCCTTTAACCCCTTTATGACTGAGGCCTTTTTTTCATTTTTTGCACCCATGTTATATTCCACATTTTAGGCCTGAAAATTACTTAAAACCACCAAACATTATATAGTTTCTAAAAGCCAAGACCCTATAGAATGAAATGGGGGCAGTTGCAAATTTTTATGTTGCACGATATTAGCGCAACTCATTATCAAACCCCAAAAGTTAGTGACAAATGTACTTAAAAGCCCCAAAACACAATAAAATGCCCATTGTTTTAAAAAATATAAACGATGAGGTTACAACGAGGAAATAGATACCCAACATGCCCAGGTTCAAAATTGTGTGCGCCTGTGAAACGGCGACAAGATTCAGTACCCCAAAAAGTCCATAGACGACGCTTTAAAAGCCCCCACAGATACTGACCACAATACTGGCCCTAGAATCATTGCTCTCACTCCGGCGTGCGCGGCGATACCCAACATGTGTAGCGCGTTTGTCGTTTTCATACGTAGGCACACCCAACGCGTGTTTACGTGAAGACGCACATGCTTTAACCTCTTGCCGTCCGCCCGTAGTAAAAAAACGGACGGACGGCACTGCTACATCTGCGGTTTGCCGTCTCCAGACGGCCATTTTTTTCTGCTCGCGCGCGCCCCCTAGCGGGCACGCACGGGCAGAAAAGACCCGACCGTTGCACACACCCGTTACCGGGTGTTTCACATATAGGCGATCAGCGGGTCCATAGCCCGCCGATCGCCTATATGTGCTCGTTCGCGGCACCCCCCCCACCAGGGTTGTTATCCCCCTATATAATAGCAATACCAATAAGTGCAAAAAAAATAAATATAAATAAAAAAAAATAAAAGTAACACATAAAAAAGTAAAATAAAATAAAAGTCACATATAAAAAAAGGGGAAAAAACCCCCCAAAATGTTTAACTCCCCCACCCCCACGTTTACGCGCCTATAAACGTAAATACGCGTCCGGTGCCCCAGCGCGCAAAAATTACAATTGCGCTACACATGTTACATATCGCCGCGAACGTCGCAGTGAGAGCAATCATTTTAGGGCCATCAATCACTGATAACACTAAACTGATGAGCGGTAACAGCTTTTAAAGCGTCGCCTATGGCCAATTTTGGGTATTATCGTTTTTTGAGGTTTCGCGCGCGCACGCAATTTTAAGGCTTGACATGTTTAGTGTCTTTTTACCCGACGTGACCCCGTCTTTTATATTTTACCAAAAAATTGGGTAATAATAAATGTTTTATCATTTAATATAGGGGAAACTGTTTTTTTTTAAATTTCGGTAATTTTTCCTTAATATAGTAAAAAAATAAAACCCCCAGTGGTGAATAAATACCACCAAAAGAAAGCTCTATCTGTCCCCAAAAAAGGGTATAAAATTCATTTCAGTACAGCGCTGCATGACGGAATAAATGTCAGTCAAAGTACCGCAGCGCTGAATACTGAAAAATGGCCTGGATGGGAAGGGGGTTTAACACCGCGGATGTCAACTGGTTAATGTTAATTTTAAAAACAGGTTTTTTTTAATGTTTACTTTAATTGCTATCACATAGGGGGGCCTTCAAACAAGCCCCCCATGTGATAGCAGATGGTGGTGACAGGTACTCTATGACGTGATGCTGGGGGTCCAAATAAGCAGATCACACTTCAATAGCTTATAGCTGGGCATCAGGAGCCCAGCACTGACAGCTATGGGACAGGAAGTGATGCAATTTGCATCGCTCCCGGTCCCATAGAACGAGGAAGGGATCGAACATTGTTCACTTCTCCTGCCTTCTCCAAACTCTTCACCCTTTTGTGAATAGCCCTGTTATTAGAAATTAGCAGATTACACTGTGCGAATTTCAGCCGGTTCTTGTACCAGAAAATCGAAGGAGCAGGTGGGAAAATTTTTGAGCAAACAGCAATGGCAGCTGCTCTCACTGTTCGGGGAATTATTATGCTGTTGTCATAACACAATAGGCCAGCAGGAAATTTGGAAGGAATCCGTTTTATTTTTTTGTTCAGCTGACAGTTTGGCCAACTTTAGAGAGGTATGCAAACAGTCATGAACTAACTAGTAAAACACTCATCTCTGGCTGAAATATTCATTTTCTACTGAGAGTGTTTTGGCGCCTTGCTTGCACAACTTTTTTTATTTTATCAGTAAGTGTTTTAGAACAGAATGTATTATCCATCGGTACATATTGCCAAAAGTAAGCCTTGTAGATATAAAATCAATATGTGATTTGCTCCTTTCCACAGGATCTAATCCTTACCTTCCTTTTGTGACATACGCTCGGGCCTGAACTCGCTGTATGTCAATCACACCTGACTATACACAGTTCTGAACCGAGCATGCCATCACAAAGGACTTGGCGATACCACTCTTAGCATCAAACTGCACAGTGATTTCCCAGATTGCGGGGCACAATCTCAGTCCAGCAGACTGAGAGCGATCATCACTAGGGTTGGTTAACTCTGCAGGTAACCCCTTAGACACCACACAAACGCTGCCACCACGTGTTTTTAATGGAAATGCAGACCTTTCCAAGCAAGTGCCTTGGCAATTCAAAACACTTGAATAAAGCCTATGATATCACTGTCCTCTCAGACAGGAATATGACAGGTTTCTCTATACAGTAGCACTCTTCACAGAGGTAAGGATACTTTAAGTTCATATTTACAGCGTAGAGATAAGCTTAACGGTTTTTAAGATTGTCCTTTAAAAGAAGAAATGGTGCAGAAAACATACAGAAAAATATATTAATAAAGCGAGACAAATAGGTAACAACAGTATAATAAAAGGGAATAAAAAGAGAACACTTAACAGTCCAGGTTTTAGGAGTTCAGACAGATTCCAGAGTTCAATAAGCAAAAGAGGGGTCTGAGTGGCTCTTCTTCAAGCAAAATTTGCACAGATGATTTCATGGTATCCAAGGGGAACTCTTCTGGGATATTATGAACTTCTTGATGTTTCAGGAGTTCCG